CAAATAAATTCTTTAAAAATCATACAATGTGATTTCCTGAATTTTTTTTTTAATTCTGTCTCTCAGAGTGGGAATGCACCTACAATGTGAATGTCAGACCCCTCCATGATTTCTAAGTGGGAGAACTTGCAAAATCGCAGGGTGTTCAAATACTTCTGTTCTTCACTGTACATGACAAGCACCTGCAAGGGAGCACACCTTCACAAGCATATTCAATACTGAGTGTCTGAGTTCTTGGAGGGGGAATCCCTTTTGTCAGGTTTGGGGGGTGGTTGTTAGAGTTTATGAAAAACAGCAATAACAGCTCCTCGTCTTTGGCCCTTAGTACTAAAGCTGGGGTTCTGTGGTTGTGGTTACATAAGCTCTTCATAGAAGCCTGGCTCCCACCAAGATGCCAGGCTAATCCCCTGGGATGGAGAGCCCCACAAATCCCACTGCAGGAGAATAGAACTGAAGACACTAACCAGGATTACTACACAGGACCATGTACAAACCAGGCCAGTGGCACTTATCACAAAATAACCTCAACACGCACAAACCCCAAAATTGCAAAAGACACCACACACAAACACACAGCATGGGACAGAAGAAATAACTCCTCCAGACCAAATGTGGTTTCAACATCACACTGAAGCTGCTGATAGCAGCTTGCAAGCAGCACTTCTACTGCTGATTACAAGGAAGGACAGGTTAAATTAGTCAGAAGCAGAAGTGAGTCAACCAAAGCATGATGACACATCATTTACAAATGGCCACAAAGCAGCCACTTTACAGTTAAATTGCACTGAGTCATGTACAGAAAACAATACAATACAAAGTCTTAAGATGGTCGCCTATATCCAAAATCATATTTAAAAAAAAAATGCAATTAAAAATGCAGCTCAGACTTGTGGCAATGTATGGGGTAAAAGGTAAAGATATGTATAAATATTACTGCCTGCAGACCCATCCACTTTTCTTCAAACTATAAATTTGTCTTATTTATATCTTAAACCGTTAAACCAAATCAGATTGTCAGCCAGGTGTAACAGATCAGTGGGGAATCCCTATCACAAGAGTAGTGCACATTAGAAACCACTGAGGTTGAGAAGCTCATTCAATCAGTAACTGAGACTAATGCACAGCACACACACAAAGAATACTGGTGCGAGGAAAATGGACAGAATGTCAGTGACCTCTGTAAACCAGCCGTAGGCTTCTGGGTTAATTCTACAGTCAGAGAGTTAATGACTGCTGCATTTGCGAGGGCTGGCTGATAAGAGGCAGACTTTACAGCCTGCTTGATAAAAAGACAAACTGCCTTCACCCACAGAGACAGCAAAACAGCTCCAAAGAGCAACAGACCCAGTCCAGGCAGACTGACACAAACACACTTAGACACAACCTAGCAGCACGTGGCGTGCCGCCTCACTAACAGGAAGTAACAGCCACATCACTTGCCTATGCTTCAATAAAGAAAAAAAAAACGCAGCTTGAGCTGCTAATGTTCTTTCCTTTGGCATCACTATTAAAATGCAACGTAACTGCTATGAAATTACACTTCACGAGAAGAAAGCGTTACACTGTATTACCTTTCTTGGCAGTTTCCATTTCTTCTTCAGTCCAGCGAGAGCTCTCATTCATCTCCAGATTGGCTGTTAAAAAATAGAGAACCACCAAGTTAGAGAAAGCAGGAGGAGGGGGGAATGGGCAGTTGTCACAAAGTCAGTTAGGGAGTGACTGACAAGAGGAAAGGAAGGAGAGAAAGAAATTAGAGAAGAAAACTGAATAAGAGGGTGGGGGGCTGGGTAGCCTGTGGTGCTTGCCTGTGAGGCACTGCAGTGGCGCTGGGGACTGTTGGTTTTAGATGGAGGAAGCAGGAAATTTAAGGAGAGAAGTCAGTTAATGATTATAGACATAACAACTGGCTTCGTTCCCTGTGCAGGCCATAAGCCAGGCCGACCCTGGCCCTGCATGACAGACAGCAGAGTAGGAGCCTGTGCATGTGTGTCCTCTATATGGACCTGTGAAGGGCACAGGGTGCCAGCTGCCACTACTGCCAGCAGGGGAACAAACAGAGGCAAAGGGGGGCTGCTGATGAGAGCCCCTACAGCCCGAGTCAATTGGGGATTCCCTGTGACTAAACCTGTGCTTCAGGAGCACCTGCAGCATGTATGCACAACTGCTGATACATCAAAAATCCCTCGTAGTCTGCAACAAGAGTGTTAGTGTGTCCATGGCTGAGTTACCATCTGCAAGGAAGCAAAAAGCTAAGCGGGGTACACTGCTGACATACTCAGTACTTTGCCTTTAAATAATACTTTTGTCAACAGATGAGATTTAAACTGCATTTCTCATGCAGTCACAATTTTTCACTGTTCTGATTGCTTATTAAGCCATTTACAAGTGTCACTTAGGCAAAACGTAGCGAGTGTTACATGAATGAAGACAAAAGGAACAACAGTGCACTCTTGTGGTGTGGGACAGCAGACAACAACTAGATCAGAGGTGACAAAGTCAGTCTTTCCTGATGGTTATAAACCTTCTACTGTGAATTGCTCCTGACAGGTGCAAATTCTTTTTGACCTACATTATTGCTTTAAGCTATTTTATTCATTCATTTTCAACCGCTTAGTGCCTGAACAGGGTCACGCATGGGGGGGGCGGAGCCAATCCTGGCCCGCAATCGGGCAAAGGCGGGGTACACCCTGGACAGGTCGCCAATCAACCTAAGCTGCATGTCTTTGGACAGTGGGAGGAAGCCGAAGTACCCGGAGAGAACCCACGCAAGCGCGGGGAGAACATGCAAACTCCACACAGAAAGGTCCCGGGTGGGGCCCGAACCCGGAACCTTCTCGTTGTGAGGCAACGGCGCTGTGCCACCGTGCTGCCCTATTTTAGTATCTTAATATTTTGCAACAGCAGAAATAACATACATGTCCCCTTATAATACATATAAAAATCATGTTTCTTGTCATGTCCGTGTGTTTATCAGGTACACACATGCACATACAGTATATATACACAATGGTTTAACTGTGATTTGACCAACAGTGTGCTTACCCACATCATCTTCTCAAATAACAGCATGTAATGTGCCTGTAGCTCAATGCTGTACTAACTCTACTCTACTCTGTCAAAATAAAACTGCACAGAAGAGCAAACTGGGACTGATTTGGTGCAGTGCAGCTGAGACTGACCGAGTTCATTGTTGAGGGGCGGTGTGGTGGTCTCCTCCACTTCAGTGGTCATAGAGCGGGTGATGCGGCCCTTGCGACGCCCCTGGCTGTTGGCTGTGCGTCGGCCCTTGAAAGCCACAGTGGGCTCTTTGTCCTCTGCATCTTCTCCAGAGGTGTCGTCCCTGCATTTGGGAAATGTCAACACAGTCAAGAATACTACATAAACCTGGGCACAGACATGTTTGTCTGTACGAAACCAGACAACCAACCAAAGAATGCTGGAGACTGAAACACAGTCTTAGAAGACCAAATGTGAATGTGCATGGAGATAGAGTGGAAACCTGGACTGCGAGTAACCCGCTTTGCGGGTGTTTTGCAAGACGAGCAAAAAAGTTTGATTCGATATACGAGCGAGGTCTCGCAATACGAGTAGTACGTACGCTTTGTCTGCCGAGAGTCACTTGACGTACGTCACAACTGAGCCGATGATTCTCGTGCTTTGTTTTATTTTTACTTTATACTGTATTTTGTATTACTGTAATCATTTTTATATGGATAAGTGGTTGTGGAACGAATCATCTGAGTTTCCATTATTTCTTATGGGGAAATTTGCTTTGATATACGAATGCTTTGGATTACGAGCATGTTACCAGAACGAATTATACTCGCAATCCAACGTTCCACTGCACTGCTTTTTCCTTTCTTTTTTGTTCCCCCACAATAAAATATCAAGTGTCAGCACAATGGTAGCCACTGATTTTAAACTCACTGCTCCTCCATTCATCTTCCCCCCCAGTTTCATTAGTCTTGTTGAGGGGAGCTGGTGGCACACTAAATATAGGTGAGCCAGCTGGGCCAGGGGTGACAGGCTAGCAGCAAGGTGTGCTGGGAGGAACGGCCTTCCCTGGCCTCACCTTAGAGCAGGGAGGCAGTTGGCAATTCATCTTCATCACCTCCTAGTCCAACACAATTGCTAATAAATATGACCTGCCATTACCTGAAAGGGCTGTACAGTGTACTACTACCTCAGCTGATATCATAACATACTGCATGAATACAGAGACAGACTGTCGTATGAATCTAGTAATTTTCAGGCAACAGAAAACAGTGCTATTCTATCTGCTGTTCTGCATCCTTTGGTGGCACTCTGCCTGAAAACACCCCCTCCACCAACACACTTATACCCACACTCCTCATTACACACAGACATTTCAAACTGACAGCCAGGTTAATCATACTGCTTATTTTCCAGAACAAAAAACCCCCTCAGACTAACCAAATAAGCACAGAATTTTAAAAATGAGACTTGGCCTATTGGGAAGGAGAGAAGCATAAACAGGAAAACAGCTGTTTTAATAGGCATATTGAATGGATGCTTGAATTTGCTGTAGGTGGAAAGCCTGGCTGAAGGTGAGGGAGCTCAAGGGTTACAAAATGATTTGATTTCCAGATCTGTTCGCACTAGCCAAAGCTTATTCCTGCTCCATTTGCTGCAGCCTAACTAGGATTACTTCTAAAAACTTGGTGAAATGGGGAGACTTGCAGCTGTACAGGTACAGACTCATACAATGAGGTGAAAAAGTTTTCACTCAGCTCCATTCTCTCCTCTGTCAGTGTGCTTTTCTAATCAGTAAATTTGATTTGATTTGATTTGATTTATTCTTTCAAACATGTAACAACAGTCAGTATGTATTCACACATAATTCCAGACATATCCACAAAAATATTTTCAAATTGCTTATACCTAGTACATGCTTGAACGGAGTAGGAAGAAGTTAGACTTATCTAGTCCTACCCCCTAACATCATCTTATCATCATTGGTTTGCAAGCAGTATTACTACATGGATACATATTCTACATCCACACTCCCATCTGATTAATCATTAAGCCTGTTCTTGCATATATCTTGATTGACACATACCTTTATATCTGTGTTTAAACTCATCAATATTCTTACTGCTTTTTATGTCCATACCTAAATTATTCCATAGTTTT